TAGTGGTGTTTTCTTGGAAACTTCTCACTTGTGAATTGGAAGGTATGTTTGCTCAAAAAAATGTAAGTTCTACTAATCAGTTACATGATATTGGTATTATTACTGAAAACTGTATGAATAGAGTTATTGGTAACGATAATTAGACCAAGTTCTGGACGGATGTTCAGTGTGCAGGACTCCACTTAAAAGTGTATTTCCATAGATTGTTTGTGTTGTCTACATGTCAAAATGCCTTGGTTAGGGATTTGTACTCTTCGTCTGGTTGGAGCTTCGTGTGGACACGTTCTATTAGAGGTGGTGTTGAGTCTCAACAATCAAACAATTGGCTGGATTTACTCTCGGACATTCAACTCCACTTGATCCCAGATAAATGGGAGTGGGGCCTAGATTACTTGGGTCTGTTTTCAGCTCCACTTGTTGGCTTTACTCGGGCCTAGATTACTCGAGTCTCCTCTCCTAAGCCTAAAAAAGAAATTTTGTTTGATTCTGTTGTTAAAACTTCGTTTCATTGGTTTTCTTTTTGTAACTCTAAGGCTAGATTCAATTGGGTTGCATGATTACAAAACCTCACTCCCTACCTTTTTACAAATTGAGTACTACCATTTCCTTTAGCCTACATAGGTTCGAAAAATCCTATGTGGCTTAAGAAATAATATGTGGCAAAATGCTAAGGGTGTTATTACTCCCTCCAGCCTAAATCTTGAATTTGCCACTGTTTGTAAATTAGTGGTGGTTATTACTAGACCCAATAATTGAGGTGGAGGTTGTAGTGAAGGTTTTCATGATGAGACCGCAATACGATAACATATGAACCTAACGGGGTAGTGAAGTCTAATGAAGAACATGACGATAAAGAGCGAGACATATCGGGGCTTGGGGTGGGATCCAACACATTTAAAAAGTTTAGTTAAAAAAGATAAAATAGATTAGTAGGATTAGAATATGAATTTTATATAGGTTACAGAATATGAATTTTATATAGGTTATAGACAAACAATGTAATAAATAAAAACTACAAGAGCCATTGGTATTAAGAAAAAGAGTAAATTACACGAATGGTCCTTATGGTTTGGAGTCATTTGCATGTTAGGTCTGTAACTTAAATTTTTAACTCGGAAGATCCTTGCTGTTTGTTTTTGTTACGCACTTGGTCCATGTCTTACCTAAATAGACTATTTTTTTCTTGATTTTTTAATTTATTTAAATAAACACACCCCAACCCCATTTCCATCTCACATTACCTTACCCTACATACTCCATTTTATTTAAATAAATTAAAAAATCAAGTGCAAAGTAATCTTTTCAGGTAAGACAGACCAAACACACAACAAAAACAAACGGTAGGGACCTTAACAATTAAAAAACAAATTAGGAACCAAACGTACAAATTACCCTAAACCATAAGGACTATTCATGTAATTTACTCTTAAAAAATTCAAGACCATATGATTTAATAAAACACATGAAAAATATGTAATGTTATAAACCGTTTCTCCTTGAAGCATTGGATACGGACAACTACTTATCATACCATTTTAGTGTCACCTCACATGCCACTAACTAATGGTGTTATAACACCAAGTGAGAAAATTATCACCATGTTAAAAGCATGTTATAACACCAATTATTTTCCATTTCATATTTTTTTCAAGTTTTTTTTTTTCAAATTTCTTTTCAAGTTTATTTTTTTATTATAATAAATATATTATAAATAAAACATAATATTTGAAAAATAAACATAACATAGCTTTAAACTACACATAACATCCAAATTAAAAAAAAAAAGCATTACAAGACAAAAAAAATATGTACTTTATTTTTCCTAAACAACGCTATTCGACATCGTTACCATCGAAGATATAATCCGTCAAGTACTCTCAAAGTTGCATGTGTTTATTTATGTTCTGAATGTCAACGACTCTATGCAAATATTTTGCTGTTCCTTGTTGATATTGAACGTGTCTGGGCTCCGTTAGGATATATTGTGCAATATTTCGTCATTTATCTTCTACTACCATGTTATGCATTATGATACACGCATACATGATATAATGTAGAGTTTCTAAATCCAATGGTCGTGCCAAATGTTCAACTATGTGCCACTTCGACTTTAGAACTCTAAAATCACGTTCCACATTCTTACAATCTCCTTCTTGTCTTCTCTTAAATAATTTATCTCTTTCTTCAACCGGGTGTCGGAATGCCTTCATGAATGGGGAATACAGAGGATAGTCCACCCGTAAGATAATAGACAGATTTTTATTCATTTCCATTCACTGTGAAAAAGCAACATCAGGGGCTTTTCCATTCAAAATATTATCAAATATTGACGATTAATCAAGAACGTTGATGTCGTTGTTGGAAGCCGCAACCTCAAAAATGCATGCTAAATCCATTAATCTTGAGAACCAACAATCTCTAAAACCAATGAAGGAGAACCATGATGATCACTTACATTCTACCTTTTCCATGCTACCAGATAATTTTTCTATTTCTAGTGCATGCAGTCAATGCTTCTAATCATTCCGGGAAACCCATGTCTTTCTTCATGTGCTGCATAAAATTCTTGCGTATCATGTAACAAACGTTTTCTGAAATATATGTCTCTGAATGTTTCCATAACACAATTTAACAATCTATACAAACTTTCCCGTGCAGTTTTTTCGGACATTATCATATAATCGTCCATGGTGTCGGGTGACTCCCCCATAACCATCAAATGAATGGTCGCAACACATTTTCTGTAACTTTATGAATCATCGTTTACCTCTAGAATCATATCTCAATTGGAAAAATGTATACCTAAACATATATTAATTATGTTTTAAAAATATAGCCCATTAGTATTAAAAATGTAGTAAATTTGTATTTACTTTGTATAAAAATATAGTAAATATGTATTAAAATTAAAGAGACAATACCAACTTTCTGAGGCGTTGGCGATCCGTAGGAACACATTCCTACTCAAATGAAATCTTCTTTTGAACTCTTTCAACCCGTATACACAGTTATCCTCAAAGTAATTGTGATATAGACGCTCGTGTCCTTACTCACGATTTCTATTTAACACCTCAAGTCTTGTTAGTAGAGAGGTTGAGTCTGCTTGTAGTAGCTCGATGTTGTAATACCAATATATCATAGTGATAAATATATTGTCACCATCATCGTTGGACGAGTCGATGCCATTGAGGTGTGTCTAGCTCGATAATAACGCCATTTTCTTGCCACACCGTATGCTCTTAGCTTGTTTAAAATAATTTGTTAAATTAGGCACGTGAAAAATATTTTGAAATTTAAAATCATTTCTAAAACCTACCGATTTCATCGGATTTGATTGACAAGTAAACGAGAGGATAGAAAATTGCATGAGGTAAACCGTCTAAAAGTAAGGGATAATGACTTAGGAGGGTAACTACCTATTAGCGTTGTTCACATATTGGCAACTTGTTTTTTTTGTACCTAATACACCAACTAACTTGTTTTAACCGTTTACATTATAACATTATTACTGGTTAACCTCCATTTTAACCGGTAAATGCAGTTAATTCATTTAAATGAAAAGGAAAAGAAAATACGTGGCTCCAGAAGATTATACGTGGCATGTTACGTGTTTATTTACACCTCACTTATTATATAGAGGGTGTTTGTCGTTGAAGCCCTAGATCGACAATGGCTTCTTCTTCTGCTTCATCTGCTTCTTCCAAACGAAATGTCGAACTCCAAGCTGACCATCCATGTAAGTGCGACATGCCATCTCGTGTGAAGATTTCAAGAACACCCGACAATCCAGGAAGAAAATTTCGAGTTTGTCAAAATTCTTTGGTAAATATGTTTTATTTATTCAACCCGGAACTGAATCTTCTTCTTCATCTTCTCTTCATTTTTTTTATCCTTTCATGAAGAGTGCAAGAACTCCAAGATGTAATTTCTGGGAATGGTTGGAAGACGATGAGTACCAACAACAGAAGAACAGTGATTTGGGACAAATCTACAACCTAACATTCAAGCTTGGAAATTTGGAAAACGAAATTAGTTATTGCAGGAAGAAGTTGGAAGAAGAGAAGAACTCTAATTTAGTTTTCAGACAAGAACTGGACAAAGTGAAGTGGAAGTTGTTTACTCATAAAGCTGCATTGTTTGTGTTATTTTTCTTGTATGTTAAACATGTATTTTTTAAAGTTTAATGTGTTCTTTGTATCCTGTTTGATGTACTCTTGTTTGATGTATTCTTCTTTGATGTGTTCTGACTAAATCATGTACTTCATGAAGTTTTGTATGCAATGAAAGTTATGACTAAAGTTTGATGTTTAATACTTGATGTATTAAGATAGTAAACATGTAATGTATACAAACACATAAATAAACATGTATTGAGATAGTAAACATGTAACTTGGGAGTTTGATGTATTAAGACAGTAAACATGTAATGTATACAAACACATAAATAAACATGTATTAAGACAGTAAACATGTAACTTGGGAGTTTGATGTATTAAGACAGTAAACATGTAATGTATACAAACACATAAATAAACATGTACTTAAATCAGGGGATAATGACTTGGGAGGGTAAACATGTACTTAAATTAACATGTACTTAAAGTACCAAAATACCCCTAATGACTTGGGAGGGTAAACATGTACTTAAATTAACATGTTCTTAAAGTACCAAAATACCCCTAATGACTTGGGAGGGTAAACATGTACTTAAATTAACATGTACTTAAAGTACCAAAATACCCCTAATGACTTGGGAGGGTAAACATGTACTAAAATTAACATGTACTTAAAGTACCAAAATACCCCTAATGACTTGGGAGGGTAAACATGTACTAAAATTAACATGTACTTAAAGTACCAAAATATTCCCAAACATACAGGACCCAAGATGTTAAAGTATCAAAACATTCCAAAAGATGTGCCAAGTTTGTCCTATTGTGCCAAACGATATTACAAGACCCAAGATTCCAAAACATGCAAAATAAAACAACACATTGAATTCAAATCTCCAGTGGGTGGTCAGTACTGCTTCCTTCCTTCCTCCTTATGTTCTTCCTTAACTGAATCTTTGTGAGTCTTTTTGAAGTTTTTCTTGTCCTCTTCCTAACTGGATTTTCTGCATTGTGTTGAATTTCATGTTCCACATTATCTTGAACTTTAATTTCATGTTCCACTTCAATGTTAGCTTGAATCTCATCTTCTATGTTAGCATCAACTTGAATGTCATCTTGAATCTCACCTACAAGGTTATCTTGGACTAAAGGAACATCAACTTCAACTTCAGGTACCACATAAACTTCAGGAACATCAACTTCAACTTCCACATCAGGTTCAGGAACATCAACTTCAGGAACATTAGCTTCCACATCACTTTCACTTTCAAAGTTACTATCACTTTCACTTTCAAACATGACAACATGTTCCACTTCCAATTCAGCTTCAAGGTCTACTTTACCTGTAAAAGGGAAAAAAAAAATCAGAAATGGCACACAAGTATAATATATTAGATAATTTAACACCATACCTTGTTTCTTAGGTTTCTTTTTGTTAGAACCTGAAGTAGATGGTACATCATTTGGTCTTTGAGGACATGTTGATCTGTTATGTCCTCTTTCCCTACAAATGGTACATCTCATGATCATTCCCTTTTTTGAGACTGTATGCCTTGTTCCCTTAGCTTCTCTCTCAACCTGATCCCTTTTCCTTTTCAGTGTTGGTCTTCCAGGTAGTCTTCTTTTTTTAGGGGGCAATGGTTTGGTGTAATCCACTTCAGACCACATAGCACTATAGTTTAGTGGCCTAATGTTATACCTATAACAACTTGCATACATTGATGTAGTAAACCATTCTGACACATACTCCTCAGGGTCCCTATTAAGGCTTGAAATGGCAGCATATCCATGCACACAGGGATACCCTGCTAACTGCCATGCCCTGCATCCACATTGCCTAGTATTCAGGTCTACAGCATAACCTTCAGTCCCCACCCTCACCTCAAATTGCATATACCCAGAAGGTACCACTTGCCAAAACCTATCCATAATCATATATAAATTAGAAAATATTAAAAATGACAAACATATAAGCAATAAGAATTTACCTTTGTGTTTCCTTGTGCTTATTCAACTTCAACCTTATAGAAGGACATATGCTTAAATCCCAAGATTGACCCTTGGCCTTGTATATACACAACCTTTCCATCACATAAATCCGGATTTCTTCTAACATGGTAATAAGTGGTTTCTTCCTAGCAGCTTCACTCACAGAGTTAAAACTTTTAGAAACACCATTTTCATATGCATCACAACTCCTATCAACCTAAAAAATGCTTTACACCATGTTTTAGGGTCCCTTTCCATCAAATGTTCATAAGCTAGTGGCTCCAGCTTCTTGATTTCATTCATATGGTATTCAAATTTTTGTGGAACTGTAGATCCAGCAGCTCTCCAAAACAGTTTCTTAAACATTTGCCCCTTAAATCTTTTTTGGAAATTAGCACATATGTGCCTAGCACATTGTCTATGCTCTGCAGCTGGAACCCTTTCCTTCACAGCTTCAACTAATCCCTATAATCAAAACATAAACAACATAAGCAAAAACATATTAAGTATGTAAAATAAGTATGGAAAATAACAATAATTGAAGTGTGAACATTACTTTGCGTTGGTCTGATATTATGGTTAGTCCATGCCTAACTCCCATTCCAATGTCATCAATTAGAAGATCAAGAAACCACTTCCGTGATTCTTTATTTTCTACTGCAACCACAGCCCATGCAACATGATATATGTGGTTGTTTGCATCCCTCCTAATGGCTGCAAGCAACTGACCTCTGCATATGCCCTTTAAGAAACAACCATCTACTCCAATTACCCTCCTACAACCCTCTATCCATCCATCCTTCAAACCCTTTAAACACACATAAAACTTTGAGAAGTATGTTTCTCCATCAGGCATCACATCCACCTCCATCTTAACTGTTGATCCGGGATTTGTCCTTTTTAGCTCTTCTCCATAACTCCATGTCTTAGCATAATGCTCTATTAAAGTACCTTCTATCTACTGAAATGCATATTTACTAGCATTTATGCATTGTCCAACACTAGCTATCAGGTTAAACCTTTTACTGACCTTAGCTTTCAATTTCCTAATGCTCATCTTTGGTTTCTGTATTATATCATTCATGAAATGAGTTCCAATCCATTTGTAGCTTACAATGGACCCAAATTTGAAAACTCTTGCACAATTATGCCTATCAATTAATGACTAAATCTGAAAAGACCTCTCATTCTTCATCTAGGTTGCCCACAACCTAAAGGGACAACTCTTACTCTTCTTGTTCTTCTTATATTTACAACATTTTGCCAACAGCTTTTGATGATCATTTTTTTCAAACCATAAGTCATACCCATTCTTGACAGCATAGTTGGTTAGACAAAGCTTCAATTCAAGAGGGTTGGCAAACTTCATACCTAAAATTGGGACCATTTTATCCCATTCTTGCTTCTCATCAAAGACAGGGAACACAACCTCATCATCTTTATCCCTATCTTCATCATCATCAGCATCATTTACTTCTTCTTGATTACTATTGAGAATGGGTTTACCACACAACTTGTTCAAGAATTCATCATCATCTGTTTTGTCAAATATATGCACCTCTTCATCAGGTTCATGCTCACTTTCCCTTATATCTGAAATTTGTGACTCTGTATCATCATCTTCTATTACATCAGACAACTCATCACCTGTTAACAACTCCTTATCAGCCCAGTCAAGAATGGGTTCGTTTTCGTGGTCAATGTACACATTCATCCTTAGCTCCTGCTTATCCATGTAACCATCTTCAATAAACTCAAAATAGTCAGCATCATTATCGATTCTTCTGATACCCTCTGCCAATCTTTCATGAGTACTACAATAGTACAAGTTCTCACAACTTCGTCTTGTCAGCTTTGAAACCCACAACACAAATTCTCTATAGTCCATGCCACCAAAATCCACATCACGAACTGACATTCTCATAGGGTCTAAGTACACTAACGGGTTTGGTGCAAACATGCCGTTGAAGTGAAAATCTATAGTGAGATACTTACCGTTAGATGCTTCCATTGTAGTGAGATACGTATCGTTAGACGATTTCAAGTCCCAACTTCAGTTCCTACTGCTTCGATCGACTGAATTCTGAGAAAACTTAAGTAAGCGGGATCGATTTGGGGAATGATTTGGGAGTAGTTGTTAAGATTAAGAACCCTAAATAAATTAGACCGATATGTGTAAATGAAATCGAATACAGACAAAGGGTGAAATAGCCACGTCATAAGCCACGTATTTTCTTTTCCTTTTCATTTAAATGAATTAATTGCATTTACCGGTTAAAATGGAGGTTAGCCGGTAATAATGTTATAATGTAAACGGTTAAAACAAGTTAGTTGGTGTATTAGGTAAAAAAAAAAAAGTTGTCAATATATGAACAACGCTAATAGGTAGTTACCCTCGTAAGTTATTATCCCTAAAAGTACCGCTAAGTTAAGAATGATGCTCTAAACTTGGGCCGTCGAACTAAACTATTTTGATCGACATGGGCTATTTTTTTAATAGCTCGTCATGGACCATATAATCTTGTTTGTTTCTAACTTTCTATGAAAGTGAAAGCATTCAAAAACATGGGAAATCGTTATGGTAGTGAATAAAACCTTTTAGATACAATATTACTGTGAATTTGTGATCATAATATTTTATTATTTATATTAATCAAAATGATTTTTATTTTTTATTTTTATTTTTCGAGGTTCTAGACTTGGAAGAAATCGTGGTTACTATCTTTGAAAATAATGTCGATGAAGAGGATACATTATCTTTGGGACCAGTTATGTATAAGGACTCACAATCACGTCCAAATCAATTCACAACTTTTTTTGTACGGTTTGAAGACAACACAAATATCAAACTTTTGGTTGGAATACGAAAAAAGAAAGATTTAACCAAAACCCTTAATCATTTGTTAATAAATAGCTAAATTAAGAAAATGATATAAATAACCATCAAAATTGCAGTTGAGCTTTCATGGGCAACGATTTCAGCTCATGGCTGCAATTTCAGCCTAGTAGGTTGCGATTTTGTATTTGTTTGATTTTTATATTTTTGCCAACTTTAAGCCTTCATTTTTTTTTTTTTTTTCATACGAACTCATATTGACCTGATTTTTTTGTTATATATATATATATATATATATATAACAAAAAAATCGGGTCAATATGAGTTCGTATGAAAAAAAAAAAATGAAGGCTTAAAGTTGGCAAAAATATAAAAATCAAACAAATACAAAATCGCAACCTACTAGGCTGAAATTGCAGCCATGAGCTGAAATCGTTGCCCATGAAAGCTCAACTGCAATTTTGATGGTTATTTATATCATTTTCTTAATTTAGCTATTTATTAACAAATGATTAAGGGTTTTGGTTAAATCTTTCTTTTTTCGTATTCCAACCAAAAGTTTGATATATATTTTTTGTAGCAATAACTTTCTATTGTTATATTATAATCGATATTTAGACATCGAAGTCCCCGTTCAAAGCTCCAAAGATGACCTCTCGGGCTTTTGGATATTTTTCCCAAACTTAAGAATCTTTTTGAGTAAATTACACGAATGGTCCCTATGGTTTAGGGTAATTTGCGTGTTTGGTCCTTAACTTATTTTTATTAACTCGGAAGGTCCTTAGTGTTTGTTTTTGTTACGCGCTTGGTCCCTGTCTTACATAAAAAGTCTATTTTTCCCTTTATTTTTTAATTTATTTAAATAAACACACCCCTAATCTCACCCTTCTCACCTTACCTTACGTACCGCATCATTTTTTCTTATTTAAATAATAGTCTTTTTAGGTATAACAGGGACCAAGCGCGTAACACAAACAAACAATAGGGACCAAACACGTAATAAAAACAATCAGTAGGGACCTTCCGAGTTAAAAAAATAAATTAGGGACCAAACGCGCAAATTACCCCAAACCATAGGGACCATTCATGTAATTTACTCAATTTTTTTTCCGGTTTATGGAAAATTTTTACCTAAGTTCAAATTTTCATAACTTTTTTCATATGAACTTTGATTTAGTCTATTCATTTATCTTTGGGTTCCTTATCATGTATAATACCAATTACAGTATCACAGACCAAGTTTTCGGAGTTTCCAGGATCGTGCAGAGAATGTTGTAATGATAAAAAAAATAAAAAAAAATAACTCGACGAGTCTTAGAAGAGACCGAGAACACACTAGAAGTACCTGGAAGATGCTTGGGAATTATAGTAGTCCCCAAAAAAATATAGAGAGGCCAGGAATAATCCAGAAGATGCCAAATGGTGTTAGGAAACTTGGAAGACTTTGGAGCGATCTAGAACATGCTAGATAATATAGGAATGACTTGGATAATATAGGAACGGCCTAGAAATCTATAGGACATCGTAGACTAGTATGATATACTTTATAACCTTGTAAATATAAATATCATGTAGGAACGATCTAGAATAGTTAAGATAAATCGGGATCTAGACACTTCTATTTGAGAAGGTGTAAGAACCCTATAAATAGGGGTGAAGCTATTTGTAGGAAACCATCGGAAGTTGCATTGTAATCTCTCGAGTTATTGTAATACAAAGTTATCTTTCACTTGAAGTACTCTCAAACTTTAGTCTATTGCTTTCCAATTTCGTTAGTACATCTTAGATCCTCGAAGTAGCTTGACTTAGTCGAAGAAAAACTAAGTGGCATACGAGATAGACTAGTCATAAGATTCATCCCGTGACAATAGGCTCTAGATTGCGAGTTATAAAACTCCAATGTACGGTATCTTGTGATTTTTGAACTTCTCCAAATATCACTATTTTTCAAATGAGCGTCAAGGAAACATTTTCCATTCAATTTAAACCACTCATAGACGATTAATAGCAACTTATGGAACTTAATCCATGCATTTCTTTTTAAATTTAAGCTCTTAAACTCATTTGATATGGAAATTTAAAAAAATGCGTTTAAGAGCTTAAATTCATCAAGAAATGCATGGATTAAGTTCCATAATTTGCTATTAATGGTCTGTGATGGGTTTGAAATGAATGGAAATATTTCCTTGAAACCTAAGTGAAAAATTGATAGAATTTTGAAAGCTTCAAAAATTACTAAGTAGCCTAAGTTGGAGCTTTATAACTCTCAATCTAGAGCCTCTATTCGACATCTTTCTAAATAAAATTTGTAGTCGACATGATAAGGAACCTACGAATAAAAGAATCGAATAAATCCGGGTGCATGTGCAAAAGTTTTGGACGTTTGAAGTTAGTGAAAAATATCCATGAAATAACAAAAAGTAAGAAATATTTCGGAAGCATAGGGAAAATGTCCAACCGGTCTACTTTGGAGCTTTGAAAGGGGGACTTCTCGATGTCCACTTATAATTGTAATATATTAATGTAAAACTCTTGCTCCAAAGAACATAACGTAAAACAAATCATGTCAACCGGAGTTCGTATAAGAAATATATGATGGTTTAAAATTGGTAAAGACAAATGCGAAATCGCACCCCATTAGGTTGAATCGTACCCATAAAGACTCAGCTGTGATTTTGATGTTATTTCAATCATTTTCTTAGTTTTTCTTATTTCATGAGAAATTGATTAAGAATTTTAACTAAGTTTTTTTTACTTCTAAGAAAATACAAACAATAGTAGAAATTATTTTACAAGATTCTCTTCGTTATGCTTGTTTAAATTTATATAATTACCAACATATGAAATTAGTGGGACCTTATATATTTACATCTAGAAATCTATTGTCTTATTATATTATAAACGTTTGCTAAACTTTTAAGTTTTAACCGATCAAAATCAGGCTGGAGAAAAATATTATTTTACAAAATTTATAATCTTAGGTATTAAATTAAAGAGATCCTATTGTATTTGGAAGAAAGTATCACCATAAAAGATTTGTTAATAGAGAAACGTGGCCAATGAAATGTACCATATTTATATTGTAAAATATGATAAAAGTGTCTCTCAAAGACTCAAACCATGAAAGATCAAGAAAAACATGTAAAATTGTTATGGTAGTATTTCGAAAGCGACTATCAATAGAGGATTTGTTAAATATGGAAATGTAGCCAAGGAAATGTTTCATATTTATATTGTAAAAAGAGGTTAAAAATGTCTCGTTGTGTTTCATTTGGAAATTTTGCGAACAAAATCATGTGATTAGTTATGAAAAGTCGAAATGTCTCTCCTACCACAAAATACATGGACATTGTTCTTCTCGTTATGCACAAACCGAATAGATAGAAAGCACACAAGTTTGGGACCATTTTAGAAATAGTGGTTGGGATGTTTTTAATATCATTAGGCTTCTGCAATATGAGAAAGTTGCTCATGATTCGTCCATTTGTCTTAAAGAGATGTTAATTGTCGAGTAGGGATGAATGAAAATCGAACACATCATGCAGGCTTATGTAGCAAAGGTATAAGGTTAGGATAATGACATATACTAATTATAATAAAACAAACAAATTGTTTGAAGATATATAAATATATATATTAAGATAGTGACAACAGTACACTTCAAAATTATTTCAACTGATAATCTTTAATGATCAAGCAAAGAGGTGTCAACATTGCTTATAAGTAATCCGGAAAACTGTCATAAATGAGATCGGTTCAAAAGCTAATAAATAAATTTACAAAATTATCAAGACAATAATTAGTTTTATTGATTTTAAATCATTTGGGGATGAGGAGAATTTCGAGGAATTTATAGTATAATTGATACAAAAATGATAAAGGACAAATGGCCTATAAAGGGTTCATTCTTAACTAAGCATTTGGAGTAGTTTTTATAAAGCACACCTTATACGAAAATAGAGGTCTTGCATATTGCTTTAAAGTTTCATTTAAGAAAAGAAAGCAAAGAGAGTGGAAGGATTGAGAAAAAGTCATTACCTTTGAGTTTAGTTATTAGAAGGAAGAAAAGAGAAAGAAAACAAGATTTATGATAATTATAAACTGTACTCCTAAATCGATAGGAATTAAAGAGAAAGGAAAGGAAGATAATAATATTTATTTTATTTCCACTCATT